AAAAAAAAAAAAAAAAAAAAGGGACAAGTGAAATCGGCTGGGGAGTTATGTTCCAAGATCAAAGCAGGGGCCTGGTACATTGGTCGTAGGCCCAAATGGCAGCAGACACTCTTATAAAATCACAGCAGGGACTGGGCACGGTGGCTCACGCCTGTAATCCCAGCACTTTGGGAGGCCAAGACGGGCGGATCACCTGAGGTCGGGAGTTTGAGATCAGCCTGACCAACATAGGGAAACCCCACCTCTACTAAAAATACAAAATTAGCCAGGTGTGGTGGCACATGCCTGTAATCTCAGCTACTCGGGAGGCTGAGGCAGGAGAATTGTTTGAACCTGGGAAGTGGAGGTTGCGGTAAGCTGAGAACGCGCCATTGCACTCCAGCTTCGGCAATAAGAACAAAACTCTGTCTCAAAAACAAAAAACAAAAAACGTCGCAGTGGTCGTCACAAAGTCTCCAAGTCAGAAAGGAGTCAGACCAAGCTTCCCAGACTGAGAGGGGATCTGTAGACCTAGCTTGATGGTGGGTATAATGAAGAGCTTGGCCTTGGGATCAGACATACCTGAATTAAGTCCAACTCTGCCAATAGGTCTGGTCATTTAACCTCACAGAATTTTCTTGCCTTGAACATGGGGACATTACTACCTTAAAGGATAGTATGAAGATTAGAGATAAGAGGTGTACAATAATTGGCACTTAGTAGGGTTTAGAAGATAGTGATCTTTATTATTAGGGTGTGTGCCAACTCCCACACGTTTGGGTGACTATATGTTTAAAATATATTGTGTGGAGATTTTCAAGGAATCGGAAAACGTGTATGAAATAAAAGTGCTTGGTAAACAATAAAGTACCCTATAAATATAAAGGAATCATTTGGGAAGTCTTTTGTAGTTGGACAAAATACAGGACTTGAATTTGGGCAGCAGTTCAGGTCCTACACTCTGCATTTACTTGCTCTGTAACCTTGGGCAAGTCACTTTCTCCATCAGCCTAGTTCTACATATGGCAAATGCAGGTCATTGTTAGTTGCTGTGAGAATTCAATGAGTGTAAAGTTCCTAGCACATCTCTTTCTGGTGAACGGCAGGGTCCCCATGTTAGGCAAGGTTATGGGTGATGTCAGTTCCAAGCCTGGTGCCAGAATCACACTCTGCCAACTGGCTACAAATGAAGAGGGCCCCTCACTCTGGAAGAGTAGGGCCCCAAATTCACAAGAGAGGTAGACAGAGGTCTTTTGTATTTGTTAGAGGAAGGGTTCTTTTGTATTTGTTAGAGGAAAACTGGGTGAACACTGAACTTTGATGTAGAAAACACTGAAATCTGCCATGTGGAGCCAGGCCTAAACCAGGAGGACAGGAAACCAGACAGAATCCGTGCTAAGCTGTTTCAGCCTTGGGGACTAAACTATTGCTACTAAAAGCAAAGACTCTCATTATGGGTTTTAAGATTTCTCTCACCTTATCCCACCCTTCACCCCCTACTCCCTGTCACTGCCATTCTTCCTACGCACAGAGTAAGTGCTCAATCAATAACATTGAGGGCCAGGTGTGGTGGTGTGCACCTGCAGTCCCAGCTACTCAGGACACTGAGGTGGGAGGATCACTTGAGCCCAGGAGATCAAGGCTGCAGTGAGCTGTCATCACACCACTGCACTCCAGCCCAGGCGACAGAGCAAGATCCTGTCTCAAGATAAAATAAAGTTGACCTCAAAATAAAGTTGAAAAGGTTCTCATGCTTGGTACTGACTTGCCACAGAGCAAATGGTCCAAGGCCATATTAAGAGGCCACACTGGCTCCTACCTCCAGGCAAGTCTCCTAAGTGGCTCCTCCTTCAGAAGCTAAAAGGTAAATCTGGTGAAAAGAGCAACAGCTGGCAGTCAGGGAGGCCCAAGTTTGAACTCTGCTCCACAACATACTTGCTGTTATGACTTCACAGCAAGTGACTTTATCTTTACTCACTTCCATGTCCTCTTCTTATTCCTTTGAGGGTTGCTGTAACAACTACATGAGATAAAGAATGTAAATGTGACTGATGGAAACAATTGCATGTAGTGGATGCTCAATTAATGTTAGTTCCTTTCCTTTCCCCCTTCTCTGCAAAGGCCCCAGAAACTCAGTCGGCTTTCTTTTGCTTTCCAGAGCATCTACCCATCTGTCTTTCTTAGAATTCAACTCCCTTGCAGAGTGGGTTCAGTGGGACAATCTCCCCAGCTCCCCACTTCCCCAAATA